ATTTTCGTTGATGTCATGTGAATCTGCAGATTTTGCAGCCTTCGTGGAAATAGACGCAGTCAATACAGCGGAAACCATCCAGTTCACCACCCACGTTGTGAATTTGCCAGCACTGAGGGAAATACGATGAAGTCCATCTAGGTTTGTAAGTGTCTGCTCTTCTTGGGCTCACATTAGTGATGTGGTACACCATCCGAGATGCCAGCCATTCAACATCACGGACACATTTGACCTTCATCCTAAAGGGAATAAAATCGTCCAAAGCAAAGCATAATGTACATCAACTTGGCGTATGGGTACATGTTTTTAATTTGGTCTATAATGTACATCACGGCGAAGATGTCTCCGTTATGGAAAGCGAGTCGTAGGGAGTGAATGTACAACGCGTATGGATTCCTCGCCCGCAAGCACTTCTGGAAGAGGCCGTAGTACCACGAGATCTCGTCTCCCCACCATGGATAGTGGAAATAGTTTTTCATATCAAGTTTTGAAAGTGAAACTTCAGATAAGGCTGCGTCTTTCAACTGAAGGGCCGCGATAACCCATGTTTTGAGGTCATGGACACCATAAGCTGCGAGAAAGCTTGCAATTTTTGCAAGAACAGTTGGAGGAAATGGTTTTAAAACTAAGGCGGAGGGATTCATTACTTGAGGGGCTTCCTTACTTGGATCTGATACGAAAAAGAACGATAGAGCTTTACTCTGTTTTGAGTTGTTAAGGATTTGAGATTTGGAATGATAAACACGTGTCGATTGGGTAAGCCTTATTACCTTATCTTATCCTGTTACTATTAGGAATCGGTTAAGCTGGTTATAATTATCAATTTTTACAGCATTAGACTTTGCTGAAACCGGATTTGGGACACATTGTAATTTGGTTAAACCGGCGGGCCATTACCTTTCTTTTATTGGGTTCCCCCTTTATAAGACCGCAACTGTCATCATTTTCATAGTAAGCAGAGCGTAAGAACCCTAGAAATTTTGAGAGGAGAGGGAAATCGAGATGAGTAATTTAACCGAAAGATCGAGTGGAAGTT